CCCCACTTCTCCCGCCTACTACTCCCTCCACCCTTCTTCCCCTTTCCTTACTCCCTCACTTCTCTCCCTTACCCTTTGGCCCTCTCCCCACTCACCAACCCCGCTCCCACCCCCACCCCGATCCCATTTCCAACCCCTTCTCTCCTTCTCTCCTTCGGCCCCACTTACTCTCCCTCCCTTCTCTCCTTAGGCCCCCTTGCCCTCCTTCCCCTTCTCCACCTCCCCCCCCCCCTCTCGTCTGTCTCCTTCCCGTCTCTCCTCTGCAATGGCTTCCTCGTGTCTCGCCGAAGTGCCTGTCGCCTTCTGCGTCAGTCTGCGTCGCCGGCGGACCTTCCCGACGTCTGCGCTAATTTCTTTCTCCTCGGACTGCTTCCGGGATTTCTTACTTGTTTGGTTATTCTATCTGTTTATTTATTTCTCTTTACTTATTAATGTATTTTCATTTTTTTTCTATTTTTTATTCATCTATTATTATCTAATATCAAATAATATATATTATATAATATATATTTTATTTATCTATTATATCTATTTTCATCGACATATTTTCATTCTATTTATTCATTTCTATCTTTTCTCTTTCTTTGCCGATGATACGACAGCCGTCTCCCGATTTCTCGCAGTTTGGTGCACCGCGCACATTCGCATGCGCATAAGAACGTCATTTCCGGGTGATGACTGCGGGACTGGACACAGTACTGCCGTATTCGGGATATCTAACCTGACCTAGCTAAACCTAACCTAACCTAACCTAACCTAACCTGACCTGACCTGACCTAGCTTAACCTAACCGAACATATCTAATCTGACCTAGCTTAACCTAGCCTAGCCTAACTTAGCCTAGACAAAATTAGCCTAACCTAACCTAGCTTAGCTTAACGTGACCTAACCTAACCTAACCTAGCCTTGCCTAAGCTAACCTAACCTTAACTTCACCTAACCTAACCTAACATAACCTGACCTACCCTAACCTAACCGAGCCTAATCTAGCTTAACCTATCCAAACCTAACCTAAATTAGCCAAGCCTAGCCTAACCTAACCTAACATAACCTAGCTTAGCCTTACCTAACCTAACCTAACCTAACCTAGTCCAGCATCCTCATTTTGTGTCGACGTAGCCATCTTGTTTGTAGGCGGAAGCATGATTTCACCACAGAAAGAACACGGCCGTACGAATAACTAGTATCAGTTGGGATACGGCTGCCGTACCAGTAGTCAGTTTTCTTCTTTTTATTTTTTCATCTTTTTTTTTCGACAAAGATTCTACCCTTTAGGACAAACACTGTAAGGTATTCCCGTCGTTTATTTTATTCCTTATCTATTCATCTATTTCTTCTCGTCCCGTTTAGCCTGTCAGACACAGATATTACCTTTTTGTTCAGTTTTTTTTTATTTCACCTTTTTTCTCTTCTTTTATTTCTTTTTTTTATGTGTCCCTTCGCGCAGGCCACGTGGGATTCGTCTGGCAGGAGGCTTCTTCACCGCGAATCAGAAAACGAAAAATATTTTTTGTTTCACCTGTCTGTTTGCGCTGGATCTTTGTACTATTTGCGAAATCGAGAAAAAATAAAGAAGCAAAAGGCCTAAGAGCGGGTGAAAAGGTGGAAATAAAATGGATTTTTGTTGACTGAGGTGAAAGCGATGGTATCTATGTTAGTGTGTTTGTTAGTATCTGTAATTTCTGTATCTATATCTCTTTCTCTTCTTATCTTTTCAGCTGTATAATTGTCTACGTATTAGTATCTATAATCTCTCTCTCTCTCTCTCTCTCTCTCTCTCTCTCTCTCTCTCTCTCTCTCTCTCTCTCTCTCTCTCTCTCTCTCTCTCTCTCTCTCTCTCTCTCTCTCTCTCTCTCTCCCTCTCTCTCTCCACATGTATCACATATTCCCCTTTTGTTCAAGCACAAGAAATCTATTTTTCCTTTTTTTTTTCTTTCTTTTTTAACCTCTTCTTGCTGTTTATTTAGCGAATGATGAAGTCATAGAATTCCCAAACCGACTCAGTCTTTTATCACTTAACCCCAATGTTGGGTCCGCTCGCCCGCTTCCATAAAAGTAGCAAAGTTGGTTTAATTTGATTAAAGCGGTTCTGCTAATTACATCAATCCCAGAGCTTCTCTCTCTCTCTCTCTCTCTCTCTCTCTCTCTCTCTCTCTCTCTCTCTCTCTCTCTCTCTCTCTCTCTCTCTCTCTCTCTCTCTCTCTCTCTCTCTCTCTCTCTCTCTCTCTCTCTCGCTCTCGCTCTCGCTCTCGCCTCTCGCTCTCTCCTCTCTCTCTCTCTCTCTCTCTCTCTCTCTCTCTCTCTCTCTCTCTCTCTCGCTGGCTCTCTCTGTAGTCTTTTTTTTTCTTCTTCTTTGGCAAAGTGCCCCATCGCCCTCCTTCAGAGACAACGACCAGAAGGAGAAGGACGCACTGACTCAGGATTTCTGCAGATTACTCCCAGGGCGTCTCGCTTCCTCCGCCGGATCCTCGGTGGCGGAGGACTCAAGTACAGGAGACGCAACGATCAAAAGGGAATCAGGCGCGGGAGGCCACGCAGAAGGACGCGCTCGCTGGGGGAAGATTTTGAGGGCTTTGCTAAACGGATTGTTTTTTTTTCTTGATTATTTGCTTGGTTTGTTTGTTTGTGTGTTGTGAAGATTTTTGTAAGTATCTCTTCTATTGATATCTCTAACCTTCTCACTCTTTCTCGTTGCGTTTGTCTTTCTGCTTGTTTGTCTATGTATATCTGTCTGTTTGTCTGTCTGTCTGTCTATCCCTCTATCTTTCTTTCTCCCTACCTACTTATCTATCCACCTCTCCCTCCGCTTATTCTCCCTCTTTTCAATATTCTGCAGCAACAAAATCTTTGCGATGTAGTCCTCCTGCGATCGAGATAAAATCCGCGGCCTTTAAATCACTGCTGTGCAAGGGCAATATTGCTCTGTTGCACTGCTGTCTCTTGGTGTAAACTATACGCGCGCACACAGACACACTCATGAATGCACACGCACATACACACACATATGGATAGATAGATTGACAGACATATAGTTGGATAGATAGATGACAGACAGATAGATGAATAGATAGAGAGACAGAAAGATATATTTACATATATACGTGCATATATATATGTACGTATATATGTATATATGTGTGTATAAACATATATATAGAAAGATAGATAGATAAATAGATAGACAGATAGAGACAGAAATATAGATATGAAAATGAAAACATCCAAAATAAGAATTGAAAATAAATGTAAAGTTTCGAACACTTCACGGGTTCCTCTTCAGACAAATGATACACCGAAATGGAAACAGAGAGAGAATTTTGACAGCTTTATCTAGTGGTAAAAAGAGAGAACGAACAAGATCCGAATCAGGTCTCAGGAGGAAGGTCAAGGTCGAAGAGTCTGGGGAAGGCTTGACCAACAAGCCAGCACTCAAGTAAACTAAAAGCGTGCAATTTCTAGTTAGCATGGCTTGAAAATAATTCTCTCATAAGAATTTACCGATTTAGGAATTAATTTAGCGTCTTTCCAGTTTAACTGATGACCTTCGCCACGTAATTGAATAAAACAGGCAGTGCCAACAGTGCCAATAATCTCCTAATTATTCCGTACAACCCGTCCCTCGATGAAAAACGCCCGCATGTTTATATATATATATATATATATATATATATATATATATATATATATATATATATATATATATATATATATATATATATATATATATATATATATATATATATATATATATATATATATATGCATATATATATACAGAGAGAGCGAGAAAGAGAGACCGAAAGACAGAAGGAGACAGACAGACAGAAAGAGAAATGGGAAGGAGGGAAGTGAGAGAGGAAAGGGAGAGGGAGCAGGGAAGGCAGAGAGGAAGGAGGGAGGAGAGGGAGGGAGAGGGAGGAGGGAGGAGGGAGGAAGAGAGGAGCAGGAAGCAGAGAGGGAGGAGGGAGGAGAGAGGAGGGGAGAGGGACAGAAGGGAGGGGGAGGGAAGAGGGGGAGGGGGGCGAAGGCAGAAGAAAGCGCTGCAGGTGAGGGGTTCTGACGAGGAGAGATGAAACGGCCATTGTTTTGAGCGCGGCGCCGAGGCTGGCTTTGTTGGCGCTTGGCCCGCCGCTCGCTGTCTTGTCGCCCCTTCGCCCCTCCCTGCGTTATCCTTCTCCTTACTCTGTCTCTTCCATTTCCTTGTTCCATCACTCACTTCTGAGGCTTTTGCTTCTCTTTCCCCCGTGTTTCATCTAGATATTCCTATGTTCTCAGATTTATCACCTTGCTATGTCTCATTTGTATACCAACCACCCAACCCCCTCGTGTCTCGCATTATCCAGGACATCCTTATTCTTTAACACAAAGAATAGTGGTCCTATTTATATCCGTGATCTTGCGCTTATAGCTTGGAGTCATCAAGTTCCACCTTTCTCTCTCTCTCTCTCTCTCTCTCTCTCTCTCTCTCTCTCTCTCTCTCTCTCTCTCTCTCTCTCTCTCTCTTCTCTCTCTCTCTCTCTCTCTCTCTCTCTCTCTCCCTCTCTCTTCTCTTTTTTTTTTTTTTTTTTTTTTTGGCTTGCTTTCACACAGAAGAATTAATTAGCTTTTCCTGGTGAGTCGTTAAGAGGAAGGGACGTTTAACAGCTACTACGAAATGTACTGAAATTTGTGACGTTTCCTGTTGACAAGAAGTTTCTCGCTGGAGAGACAGGAAGCTCTGATTCTGCAACAGGAACCTTCAGGCACTTGACATTATGTACTCTTGAAGCGATTTCTTATCATTTTTTTCCGAAAAAGATCTCTGAACATCATTCTTTACAAGCCATATGTCAGGCGTGTACTTGTAGGTTCTGCATTTGCGCGTCTTTTACAACTTTGTTAAACATGCATACGTGCCTGTGCAGGAATTCGCATAAGTAATTCTCTCTCTCTCTCTCTCTCTCTCTCTCTCTCTCTCTCTCTCTCTCTCTCTCTCTCTCTCTCTCTCTCTCTTCTCTCTCTCTCTCTCTCTCTCTCTCTCTCTCCCTCTCTCTCTCTCTCTCTCTCTCTCTCTCTCTATCTATCTATCTATCTATCTATCTATCTCTCTCTGTGTCGTATTTTCAAGTAAGACTGTCAGTGAGAGAGAGAGAGAGAGAGAGTGAGATAGATAGATAGATAGAGACAGACAGACAGAGAAACACAGAGAAAGAAAGACAGGCAGAGAGAGTGTATAGTATACTATATCGATATAGTATAGTATAGAGAGAGAGACAAAGAGAAACAGAAACCGAAGAGAGAGAGAGAGAGAGCATCTGCCTGAGCCTGTGTGCGTCCTGAGGCAAAACAGCCCTAGAAATCCCCCAAAACGTCGCGAGGCACCGACGCCGCCGCGGCTCTCCCTCCGGCGTCTCCGGCGAATGAATGACGGGGAGAAAGCGGCCGTTTTCGTCCGCGGAAAGGCCGGAAAGGCGCTTTATGAGCCAAGAAAACGGCCGTTGCGAACCCTGCGCTCGTGAAGAGAGCGGGGATAAAAATGGCATTTCAGTGTTTGTCCGGAAAAGGGACCGGGTTGAGCTATTTTTAAATCTTTTTATTCAATTATATATATGTATGTATATATATAAATACATACATACGTATATATACACTGTGTATATATATATATATATATATATATATATATATATATATATATATATATATATATATATATATATATATAATATATATATATATATATATATATATATATATATATATATATATATATATATATATATATATATATATATATATCAAATATACATATAATTCTGCAGTTAGGGTGTATACGATTTTGTTAGGTAAAGTAACTCATCTGTCGTTGGGATTCAAGGCCCGGCTGAAGCAATAGCAGTCTCGTCTGTTTTGCTTGGGAGAATAATCCACTGGGATGTCTCGCTTGCACTGCTTGCTGGGGACGGCCTGGATTCCGGTAAATGCGAGATGGATGATTTCGATATTTCAAAGATATATAAGAGATATAAAAAAGATAGATAGATAAAAAAAAGTTAATTATGGCTACTCGTGTTAGTAACGGTTACACTGCATTGTTATGTAAAAATGATAGAAGATTTAGTTAATTGATACTCTCTTTTACTTTTACTTTTTTTATTTTATAATCGCCCCTTCTTTTAATAGGAGCGTTAGATTCGGTTAGACTTACTTATTCATTGCCAGTCAGTCGCGCTTAATGATTTTATTGAAATGCTTTGGGGAGGGGTGGAGGGGGGGGCTTCGAACTGGGCTCTCCTCTAGAGCAACAGATTCCGGAAACTTAAAACCACTTACACTCGAGTTCACTTCGAACCCTCGCCGCCTTCGCTCGGGTCGAGTAAACCAGCCACTTCGAGTGAACCCCACGACCTGCCCGACGCAAAACCCGGTGCAAAAAGGAGCGGAAAAAATGCACCGCACAGCACGGGCTTTTTTGCGCTCTCGACGACGTAATTAAGGAGAAAAAATACACATTCCAGGTGGCTTTTGTCTTGGATGTACTTGAGACGACGCAGGCGCTTTCATTACTCAGTTGTTTGTATGTGCTTATATACATACATACATACGTACATGATTTTGTTTTCGTGTCATTAATATTAAAGATGACTCTTATATCACACAAAAGGCGTGGAAAATGTCAGTAAATTGTTTTTAGTGCTTCTTTATCAGCGTTTATTACAATTTTCTTCCTATATTTTACTCTCTCCGTCTTCGTTCTCTTCCTCCTTCGCCCCGAAACCTGCCTTTTTCCTACCCTCTTTCTCGTCGTCTCATTACCCTCTCCCACCCTCCTTCTCATTCCCTCCCTCACTCCCTCCCCTCCCCTTCCCTCCCTCCTTCCCACCCCTCCCCTTCCCTCCATTCCCTTCCTCCCTCCCCCTCCCCTCCACCCGGATATAAAACTCTTCTCCTTCACCCTTTCGGATTTTTCATTCCCCATTCACTCCTGTCTCCATTAGTGTAAATCTAACCTTGCTCATTTACCTGCTCACAGAGTCACCCTCACACACACATATGCATACGTACACGCGTACACACAAGCACTGACGAGCGCACACTCACGTATACGAATCCACGAATCAAACAGACACACACATGGACACAAACACACACACATCCACGCACACACATACATAGACAGAGCAACAACAAAAATCACACAGACAAGCAACCCCCTCCAACACACACACATACACATACACACACCCACATACCCAAACCAAACAAACACACACACACATACAACCTCCCCCAACCCTCCCACCCACCCCCACACAGACACGACACGACAAACACTCTCCCACCCCCGCGCGCCCACCTGTCTAAGCCGGCCTCTCCCTTTGCAGCGACGTGGCCGAGGCATCCCCGTGGACAACCAGAACTTCGTCCACCTGGTCGCCTGCACGCAGCTCATGTCCCGCGAACTGCGCAAGTGCAAGCGCCTCGTGCAGACGATGCCCGTCGACATGACCGAGTATTACGGTAAGTGGGGGAGGCGAGCGCTCGGGGGGAGGGGCAGAGAATGTAGAAGCATATATATATATATATATATATAAATAAATAAATATATATATATATATATATATATATATATATATATATATATATATATATATATATATATATATATATATATATATATAATATATTTAGTGTGTGTAGTATATATATAAATAAATAAATATATATATATATATATATATATATATATATATATATATATATATGAATATGTATATATTTATATATTGTGTCATATGGATAAAGTAGGAATTCTTACGGAGAGAAACTGAATTTTTAAAAACGTTTCTTCTTGTGGTTATTTGCAAAAGAACAGAGCCATTTATCCGCAAAGATACATGTGGTTGCTAGAATTTTGCAAATCCTTGACCCACCACACACCCGCATATAGATAGAATGAGATATGTATGTATGTGTCTGTAATATTTACGTCAGAATGAATGAATAAACAAATCTAACATATGAATCTTTCTACAGATGTATTTCAAATCTTCCTTCATTCATACGAAAAAAAAGAAAACTCAAAAAAGCCATCATTCTCATGCAGCAGAAGTCAAAGTCAAAAGTGTGTCAGCTGCTGTCATTTCGGGGAAAAAGTGTAGCTTTCGGTGTCATTTTCGTCCCGCCTGAATGCCGGGCGCCGGGCGGGCGGGGGAATAAAAAGTGAAAGTGACTTCAAAGGTTAATGAGCTTCGTAATTTTCTCTTTCTTTTTTTTTTTTTTTTTGTATGTGCGTGTGTGTTTGTTTCCGTGTTCTTTCTCTCTCTCTCTCTTTCTTTCTCTTTTTCTTCTCTTTCTCTTTCTCTTTCTCTTTCTCTTTCTCTCTCTCTCTCTCTCTCTCTCTCTCTCTCTCTCTCTCTCTCTCTCTCTCTCTCTCTCTCTCTCTCTCTCTCTCTCTCTTTCTCTTTCTCTTTCTCTTTCTCTTTCTTTCTCTTTCTCTCTCTCTCTCTCTCTCTCTCTCTCTCTCACTATCTTTCTTTTATTACCTCCGCGAAGATTATTTTGGTCGCGTTGGATAGTTAGTTCGTGGGTTAGCAGGACGACTCAAAATTTTATGAAAATTTTGAATGACTGCCTCAGCTGCCCAGGCAAAAGGGGCAAGTCTCATCAGTATCTTTGCCTTTATCGCCTCCGCAAAAGAGGAATATATGTTGTTATATGAAAATATGTTGTCTTTATCGCCTCCGCAAAACAGGTTCTGTGGTTGGACGTCACCAGTGGACTTAAGAAAGAGGCGATTTTGATGTAATTATTCAATTGTGAATATTTCTGTTGCATAAGTGATCTTGTTGCCTCGGCGGAGGTATGCGCTCACGGAGTGCTTCTGATTTTCCAAAAATCTTTCCTTCTCTGTGTCTTTTCTCATTTTGCTTTTCTCTTCCTTCTTTCGTGTCTTTCAGAAACTTCTTTTTATTATCATATTTCGTCTTCTTTCTTCATTTCCGTCTTCTTTCTTCCCTTTTCTCTTCTTCTTCTTCTTTTCCTTCTTTTATATTCTTCTATTATCTTCTTCATTTACTTCTTCATCATTATCATTTCTTTCACCCTCCTTTTGCCTTCACCCCCCCCCCCCCCCACTCCCTGAGGCCCTCGCGAGTTCATCTTCTCTCCGACGCGTCTTTCTGTTTTCCTTTCTTCTCCTCTTCCCATTTCCTTCTATGCTTCCTTTGATGACGTCACCTACTTTGCAGCCTTTTATCCTTGTCTTGTTCCTACTAGCCCCCCCCCCCCATCCCCCCTCCATCACCGCGTCCAGCTCAGCTTTGTTTTCTGCTTAGGATTCCGCGTTCGCTTATATTATATATATATATATATATATAATATATATATATATATATATATATATATATATATATATATATATATATATATATAATATAATATATATATGTATTATATATATATATATATATATATATATATATATATATATATATATATATATATATATATATATATGTGTGTGTGTGTGTGTGTGTGTGTGTGTGTGTGTGTGTGTGTGTGTGTGTGTGGTGTGTGTGTGTGTGTGTGTGTGTGTGTGTGTGTGTGTGTGTGTGTGTGTGTGTGTGTGTGTGTGTGTGTGTTGTGTGTGTGTGTGCGTTTGTGCGTGTGCGTGTGTGTATGTGTGTGCGTGTGTGTGGGCGTGTGTGTGTGTGTTTGTGTGTGTGCGTGATAAACATATAAACAGATAGGTGGGTATAGATATAAAATCTGTACATACATACACATATATATGCATGGATATATACATGCATACAAATACATACGTACATACATACATGCATATACAAATACATACATACATGCACGCATAGGTAGATAACTAAATATGTAGATAGAAAAATAGCTATGTATACAGATAGATAGATAGATAGATGAAGAGAGAGATCCTTGGGACCCGTGAGGGTAACTTGGGATAATGAAAACAAGATGTATCTGTTTTTTTTTTTTTGTTTTTTTTTTTGTTTTGTTTTGTTTTGTTTTGTTCTTTTTTTTAACTCGGTGATAACCTCATGACCCACCCAAAAAAAATCTCTAAAACATTTATCCCGCCCCTAAAGTGCAGGCTGCATAGGAAATGGAGTCACAAATTTTACATACCCATAACATAAAGGTAAAAAGCGCAAACATACGCACGCATAAACACCAGAACGACCCACCAACAACACCGGCAACAGGAGTATAATACAGCAGAATGTGGAGAAATGTTGAAACGAGATAAAAGCCCCGAGCCATAAGCAGGCGGGAGCAGCAGAAGCCACGAATCAGACACCGATAAGGGGATGGGGTGGGGGGGGGGAGGGGGCAGCGGTAGCGGGAAACAAAAGAACAGCGGGATTGCGCAATGGGAGGAAGCAGTGTTGTTTCTGTACAAGTCAAATCGGGAATGGATTTGAAAAGAAACAGAGGAATATATAAATAGGTAGACATGTATAGATGAAAGATCAGAATAAAGGTAAGTAAGTAAATAAACGAATAGATGAATAGTCAGAAAGCCAAGGAAAGGTTAGAAATCAGAAAGAGATCGAAAGCGTGGAAAGATAACTTCAGAAATCAAGTTCCGAAGCGAAGGGGAAGAGGCGAGAGGAGGAGAGGAGAGTCACAGGAATCAGGAGGGAAATGCAAAGACAAAGGAAATAATGGATACAAATAAAGAAAGAGGTAGATGGGAGCGTAAGCGAGAATACTAGAAACGGATTTGATCGCTTTTACCAAGTATAATACACACACACACACACCACACACACACACACACAACACACACACATACACTCACTCACTCACACATACACACATACACACACACATACACACACATACACACACACACACACACACACACACACACACACACACACACACAACACACACACACACACACACACACAACACACACACATACACTCACTCACTCACACATACACACATACACACACACATACACACACACAACACACACACACACACACACACACACACACACACACACACACACACAACACACACACACACACACATACACATATACACACACACATATATTATATATATATATATATATATATATATATATATATATATTATATATATATATATATATATATATATATATATTATATATATATATATACATAATATATAAAACACGCATATGTTATATATACATATATATGTGTGTATATAATATATACATATTATATATATATATACATATATGTTGAGATCATTATTTACTCTACATTGAAAAAGCTCCGTTGGTTCTATTTTCAAAGCTATACATTTGTTTACATATTTTAATATATCTGAAGGCATATCAATATAGCAAAATTTAGTGTTATAACAAATAGAGTAAATCATGATACTCATTTATAAGTGGTTTGTTTGTTTAAATGTTAACAATTCATTTGGGGGAAAAGCAAATAAGTTTTATTCCAACGATTTCTCGTCAGACGAGTCCTGCCTTCCTCCCGAACACAGGCAAGCTTGTTTCTGGTATTTAATGTCGTGTTTTTTCCCTGATGTCATAGATTGCAATGCTTGATAAGTTTATTAACGTAATTCTTAAACCCCTTTGTATTGATTAATGATAATTGAGCCGAGTCCTGCCTTCCTCTTGCACACAGAGAGACAGAATTGATTGAGAAAATGCGGCAAGGATACCCATAATGCTTTGTTTGAGAGAGAATATTTGTTATTTATTTAGTTATTTTAGTGGTCTGTGGATACAGTAACAGTAGTCGCAGGTGACAGTTCCGGTGGTATCAGTGAATAGACTGAGAAGGATATTATTTATTAGAGGGAAGTGTAAGAGAGGAAAATTGTAAAGATGAAAGGAAGGGAAATGATAGCATATGTCCAAAGAAAAATCATGGAGAATATTCCTTGTTTAAATTATATTCATTGCTAGATTTACAGAATGATATGTCACCTGAATAAAATACTGATGGTTAAAAATATTTCTATGACCGTTATGATAAACAGGCACACTCCACATTGGAATGAATTCCTTCCCACACTGACGACCTTAAAGACCGTTAGCTTACGCTACCCACAGAAAAATTAATGTACACACACACACACACACACACACACACACACACACACACACACACACACACACACACACACACACACACACACACACACACACACACACATACACACACACACACACACACACACACACCACACACACCACACGCACACACACACACACACAACACCACACACACACACACATATATATATATATATATATATATAATATATATATATATATATATATATATAGGTATATATATATATATATATATATATATATATACTATATATAATGTATATACATGTACACACACACACACCACACACACACACACACACATGCATAGGTGTGTTCTGTCTGTAGATAAATATAGAGAGATAGAGAGATATTTTTGTTGTGTGTGTGTGGGCACACATAT